CAGGTCCACTGGCAACTGAAGTTCCCGACCAAACATCAGCTTTTCTGGAGTGTATCCAGTGGCTTCATGCTCTGCTGTTCTTTTGGCCATCAACAGTGGAGGGAGTGAGACATCCCAGTCATCTTGGTGGCTATTACAAAACTTTGCCAATTTCTGTCCCAGTGTCCAATTGTACTTTTCTACCAACATATCAGACTGTGGGTGAAGTGGCATTGTCCTGGTCTTTTGTATGCCAAACAACTTGCAGCGTTCCTGGAACACAGCGGTTTCAAATTTACAGCCTTGATCTGAATGCAGTTTGTATGGCATACCAAATCTGAAGAAGAAATCACTAATAGCCAAAACTATAGTTGTAGCTTCCTCATTTGGTATTGCATATGCCCCAGGCCACTTGGTAAAATAATCCATCACCATACAAATGTACTTGTTTCCAGCAGGAGTTTGGGGCAGTGGACCAGCAATGTCAATGGCTATTCTTTCTATTGGTGCGTCAACTTGATATAACTTCTTTTGGAGAACATCCATTATACTTGGGTCCCCTTTTAGCACAACATGCATTGGGCTATCCTCCATTGTAGGCCTTCTAGTACTCTTTTCATCAGCCTCTCAAATGTTGCTGGAGCATTGCTAAGCCCGAATGGCATCACACAATATTGCTAGCGACCTTGGCCATAACTAAATGCAATCTTAGGTTTATCTGCTTCAGCCATTTTCACTTGATGGAAATCTAACTTTAAGTCCAGAGTTGAAAACCGCCTGGCTCCACTTAGGGCATTAAAAGTATCATCAATTCTTGGCAGTGGGTATGAGTCCTTTTTAGTTATACTGTTAAGAGCCCTGAAGTCCACACAGCAACATTTGGTCCCATCCTTCTTCTAGATTAACACGATGGGAGCTGACCAGAGACTATCTGATTTCTAGACTATCCCTTAATTTGGCCATCAATGACCTTCTCCATCTCTTGTCGCTTTGCCAGAGCTATTATCCTCGGAGGGATCTTTAAGGTCATGATCTCCGTTTGAAAAGACGTCTGCATAATTCGCCAAAAGTTCCCTAACCTGAAGAGCCTGTGATGATGACAAATGGACTATGCTCTTCTTATAGAGGTCGGTTAAATGTTCTGGGAGAGGATGTCCTTTCTTTATGGTTGTATTTCTTGCCTTCCTTAAGTGTCTGCTCACATTTAGAGAAATTAGCCACTGATATGGGTACTACTTGATGACCTGCCACAAGTGACCCTCCAATCTTCACGTCCACTGCCCTGGATGGGTCTTCAACTGCTTCCACAAGCATCAGGCTTCCTTGGGGATGTTCTTTTATTCTACCTCAGATTATCTTCTCTGACATAGAGGGTACTGTAGTTGACTTAAGTGCTGTGACACGCAGATTAACAGATGCAGCAACACTTACCAGAATTTGCCATTTGTTTTTCCCATACGTCATTTTATCAAAGTTAACCACACATTTCCTCGGTAGTAAGTAGTTCAACCCTGATATGCATGGGTCTTCAATGTCAGCCAATCAAACTTTGTGTCTGTCCTTTATGCCCATGAGCTCAATAATTATCCACACTGGTCCCCACAACCTTGCATAATGTCCTGTTACACCACAGAGTTTCCCTATGGCCTCTGGTACTCCTTTGTGATCTAGCACCTTGATACTCACAAGGGTTTGCTGAGATGCAGAATCTATGACAAAGCTGCACCTTTGGCCATCCAGCTTTTCTGTCACATAGACATTATGTGTGCTTGCAATTTTACACTTAGCTGTTGGGACTTTCACGATGGGGATTGGGGGGCGCCACTCAATACCAACCACTACTGGTTTCCTCGAGGCTGACTTATTGGTAGTATTTTCTTACACTGGCTCTTCATACGACCTTGCTCTCCATAGTTCCAACAACCTTTCTGGGTAGCAGCCTTCCCTGCCATGGCATCTTTCCTGTGTTGAAGTTGCCGGCATTGAGCTCTCTTGTGCCCAGGTTTGTTACAGTGCCAATAAAGTCCCTCAAACTTCTCTGAAAGCTGCCCCTTTCTGG